TGCAACTGTGTGGCTAGGCACCTGAGGACAATTAATTGTGTCCCCCGTCTAGGTAAAAGCACGTGTGCTATCTGAGAGCTTCCCCAAGTGGTGCTTTTTACCCAAAAAAGGGGGCTTTCTGCTGGGTTTAGTCATCGGCAGAGTAGCATATATTTGCTCTTTGTGATCAGGGTTGGATGGCCTCCTCTGGGGGCAGCTGAGTGGGGGAGAGGGAAACAGAGCAGACTAGAGGACCCAGGATGGGAGTGATCTTTGCATTTTTGCATCTCAACACCGCCCTCCCTCCAATTTAGTGCCTTCCCAAGAAACATGTTTGTGATCCATGAAATCTTTTTTTTTAAGTGACAAAATATGTCCTCAAGATAGAACATTTCATCAGCAATCCCAGGAATTATAAATAAATACAGTAAAGTAAAATTGAAATTCATTAACAAGTTCTGCTTCATGCTATGCTACATGACTTGTTTCTGGCAGATAGCCATTATTTAAAGGAAACTTTTTGTCCATCCACTTTGCTTTAAATGCTTTCTAATCAGGTCTATAGGCCTCTCTTCTGCTACTTTAGTTTTAGAACACAAGCTGTCCTCTCTAAAGACATATGCTTACAATTTGCAACTTTTTGTCCTCCAAACTCTCTGGAATATGATTAGCTACTGAAATAACCTGCCCCATGAAAATGCATAATATAATTGTATCTGGTGATCCCCTATTTAATGACATGGATTTATAAGTCATCGTCTGTGCCTTTCACTGCTATCTCTTTTTTTCTATTTTAGTTCTCTTCTCTTTTTAAATAGTGGACACACTTTTGCCCTCAAAATTCTGTTTTTTCACAATCTCTGAGTCCCTAACACAAAACTGGTACTCAGAAAAATAAGGGTGACACAAAGAGTGTTGGTATCTGGCATCTTCTCATGGGCTGGTTCTGTGACTGAATTCTTACCTGCAGCGTTAATGTCCCTCCTGGACCACCTAGTGGCGATCAGCTTCTCCGTGAGCCCCTAAGGTCCTCTGGAGAAGGAACTGGATCTTTCTTATGTGTGAATCCTTGGTTCCTGGCTCACAATAGGTGTTCAATAAATGTTTATTAAATAATTAATATCAGAGCCCAACTCATGCTGTTGTATGAAAAGGTCCATTCCTGGAAAAACAACAGTGTTTCTAGTGATAGTTATTCCAAAGGCGTGGGGATTGGTTCTAGTCCTGGAAGCAGGGCAGCCCTCAGCTAAGTGCTTCAGTCGGTAGAGTGGATCCTTCGTGGTCCTCGTCGCTCACCACATCCACTCCCTAGCGTCCCGGCTCTGGCCTTCAGCCACTCAGGTCTTTGTCTTGGGCTCTTCACTGTTTCTGGCATCAGGCAGCACTCATGCTTCTGATTATTCTCAGCAAAATGAGTGGCTCACATCTTGCCTCCCCTCAAGGTCCTCTCCTGGACTTTCCAAAATGGTAGCAAGCTAAGTAGAAGCCATGAGCCACTGTCTGCCCCAACTTGCCTGTCATGCCCCAGACTCTGACCTCTGCCACACTTCTCTTGCTCCCCAACACAGTGTTCCAGGTAAGGAAGTGAAGCCCTTACCCACACTGTTCCCTCTGCCCAGCGTTCACTCCTCCCTCCAGTCCCTCCCTGCTCAGTGACGTCTAACCCATTCTTCAAGATGTAAATCCAAGTGAAGTGTCTTCTGCTGAACGCCAGTTGTCACGCGTTGCTCTGATCCCTGGGCAGTGTGGCGCTCTTCCATTGAGCACACTTCCTGCATTGCATTGCATTTATGAGTTTACAGGTTTATCTTCCATGTTAGACTGTGAGTCCTGTCTTTCTCATTTTCGTTTCCCTAATGCCTAGCACCTCACCTCTGGGACCCCAGTTGATTCCCGGAAAGACAGGAAAAAAGGGAAGGAGATGAGGGCAGGGCAAGAGAAGGAAGGAGCAAAAAGGGATAGAATCTGGATCCTTATTTGTTCTAACCTTCGCTGAGGTACCATCTTATGTCTGAATGCGAAAGAGTGGCTGACATTAAAAGGAGAAGAGAGAATGGGGCAGAGGGGGTTTTGGTCTAGAAGGGTTAAAATTTAGGATTAGAGGGGCCTGAAGCTTTCCCTCAGGCCTCTTCCCAGGTGTGGGGCGCACAGAATGGTGGGACTTAATGACACTAGACTTGCTCACTTTGTTCCTGACTGGACTGTAATTGGTGTGAATTTTTTTCAAGCAATTTCTAGTGTGCAGTAGATCAACCAAAGTCCATTTAACACAGACTATTTCAAGAGCCTTATAGGAATGGTGAATTTGAAAGGACCAAAGAGCTACATGGTCTCTGTCGACGCCACTTTCCAGAGTGGTGATTGCTCTCGTCATGAGCAACCTCAGGCCTGACCAGGTCCTCACCCACAGTGTTCCTGACACAGCGAGCAGCTGCATGCTGGGAGGATTCCCTCCACACGGTGATGACGTTCAGCTAAGCCACAGTTTCCGTGACCCAGGAGGAAACCCATGTGGCTTGGGGTTGGGGGGCGTGGATGAGCAAGTGCAGATTTTTTTCTCATTCCCCCATGGCTTTAAATTGCAACCTCTCTTTTAATTTTCCATTATGCATCAAACACATCTGTGCCAGGAGTGGACAAATGTATTCCGTCTGGAAGGATGATCCCAGACAGCTATAAATTAGCGTTTGTGTACAGAGATGCTGAAAATGTGGCCACCTGGTGGGGTGTCCCTGGGACCAGTCACCTCCTCCACAGTCTGCTCGGTGGCTGCAGACCTTGGCCTGATGCCTCTGTCAATAGGTTTTTCTTTGTATTTGGAAACTGTCTTTCCATCAAGTTGCCACAGAGGCGGGGTGGGCAGGGTGGCCTGTGCGGCTCTGCTGGGTACATCTGTTCCAGGCAGCATCCCGGTGCTCCGAGGATGGTGTTTTCCCAAGGGCATTGCTCTCTTTCCTGCACCAGAAACAGCAATGACCTCAAAGCTGGTTTCCTCCCAAACTAAAGCATGGCCCAAGAAAACTCTCCCCACTTTTTTTTGGATTGAACTGATAAACTACCGTATAATGCTTATACAATGTTTTTAAACTTATAAGAGTAATACATGCTTAATGCAGAAAACCTAGAAAATATAGTGAAAAGAAAAAAGTCACCTGTAATCCCACCCTTCAAAGATAAATACTGTTAACGTTTTAGCATGACTTCTTTCAATATGCTACGCTTTTTAAAAATGCGAAAATCATTTAAAGCTGGTTCGGCCCAGTTCCTTTAGCTGTTCCTCACATTATCCAATTAGTGCTTTCCTCTAAGTACTGGAAACTTTTAGTTATTCCACATTAGAGAGTCCAGCTGGTAGAACTCTGCTCCTCCAACTCCTCACTGAAGTCATACCGCAGCCGGCCACAGAGGGATGGGCCTTGGGGGACAGAGGGCAAAGAGGGCCAAAGTCCTCATATAAATTCAGCCAGGTAGCCCCAAGGGGTAATGCCGGTCCTTTACAAATAGCCCCACAGATAGAAGGATCCTGTATACAAAGGACTCAGGTCTGACCCTGACTTTGACGTCATTTTTTCCTTGTTAAACCTCTACTTTTAGGGGCCGCCTGGTGGCGTAGTGGTTAAGTTCGCGTGCTCTGCTTCCGCGGCCTGGGGCTCACAGGTTCAGATCCCACGCGTGGACCTACACACCGCTCATCAAGCCATGCTGTGGCAGGTGTCCCACATAAAACAGAGGAAGACGGGCACAGATGTTAGCCCAGGGCCAATCTTCCTCAGCAAAAAAGAGTAGGATTGGCAACAGATGTTAGCTCAGGGCTAATCTTCCTCACACACACAAAAAAAACCCGCTACTTCTCTGACTTGCGTGCTTCTCTCTTCCTGTTGCCAGCACCTGTGTTTGTTCTCCCCTGTTGGGGCAGGGGCAGCCTCTAGACTGTTCATCTGGTGATGGGCTCAGGCAGTCTGACACTAACTGGATGCATTGGCAGAACCGGGCCATTTTTACACCTTGTCTTACATTCCCGTAGTGCCTGGAGTCCAGAAGGTGCCCAGTGAATATCTGTTGATTGATTGGTACAATGAAATTCTAGATGGGTGTTTGTGGAGACAGAGGATGCCATGGCTGGAACCTGCTGGCGGGCAGTTGTGAGAGTCCTGCAGTGGCAGAAAGGGCTTCCAGCTTTGGTGCGGAACCTCACAAAAGCCCCCAGAGTGGCTGAGAGGAAGCAAGCGATGACTCTACCAGCTGCCAGCCTGCCCAGCCGCTGCCTGCGCCAGCCACTCAGCCTCTCCATGAGCCACACAGCACACAGACCATGCTTTTTCAGAAAATTATTTTTTCCTTTCTCACTTTCCATGGAAACTCAAAATAGCAACCAAAAAAAAAACAAGCGGGCTCCCTCCCTGCCAGCAAAACCATCCCTGGGCAGTGCAGTGACCATAGAGCCCTGGGGGGAGAAAGGGTTCTAGACGCCTCTAAAACAGCTTTCTAACTGGGAACTGCTCACTCATGAAGTGTGGGCGGGTTCTGAGGTTGGTGTGTTTTCTTCCAATTTAGAAAAGTGGGTTTCCCCAGTGTCTTGGAGTTCATCTTGCTCTTGGTGACCGGGTGGCTGAAACACAGTCCCCTCTCACTGTGGTGTTGGTGAGGAGGTCCAAAGTGCCCAGCAAGGCACAATAAGGCAGGGGCAGGTACCTTGCAGGGGGACTTTACTGGAACGTTCTTTTTGAGATGCCTCTAGGGCCATGCTGTGTACGCCCCATAATCCCAAGGCAGCCCAGCAGAATGGGAAAAACTCTGGGCTTGGAATCAGGAAACCCCAGTTCTAATATCACCATCAGGGACCTGGGGGGCTTTGAGCACATCATTTGACCTCCCCTGTGAAATGTGAAGGGTGGACCAGCTGACTCCTAAAGGGATGCCCCCTTCGCGCCCTCAGCATTCCGTGTCCCCAGCCCACTCCTGGGTTACGCACACACTTTCCCCTTGCATTCCTTGTAAAAGCAGTGTGGTTTACCTTTCAGCTGGCAGGGTCAGCCGTCATTGCTTTTGGACTATGGTTTCGGTTCGGAGGCACCATGAAGGATTTCTCTTCAGAGGACAAGTCCCCAGAGTATTTCTACATAGGTGAGTGGCCTCAGCTTCCCCAAGCTTCAGTGGGGGCTGCTCCAGAGGCAGAACCTGCACCTGGACGTCTGTGGGAGGGAGGGACAGGAGGGGAAGAGAGGAGGCCAACCTTGAGCCCTGTAGGCTCCACTCAGTCCTGCAGGGGGTAGGGGGTATGTGGTCAAGCTGGGAGAGGGGCCCTGCCACCCACCCCCCACCTGCCCTTCACATGGTGCATCCCCTGCTCTCCAAAATCTAGGAAGGCCAGTGCGGAGAGACTGACCCATTGTACTTCTTTCAGCCACTTCAAGAAAAGCAGCCCAGATGTAACTATAGTTCCTTTCCAAAGAATTAGAAAACTCCCTTAGGCCCCCTGAGGGAAGTGCGTACACCACAAAGTCAATTGTTCACTCATCCATCTGGGGTGACAGGGGCCCCGTCAAGTCAGGGTTTTATTTTTTGATCTTATATTTTAAATTGTCTATGAGAGAAACGTAATTCAAAATGAAGAGACGTCTCAAGGTTTGGAGGTGCTAATCCCAGTCCCTCCATGACTGGGGCTGCAGAGGGCAGGGGAGGGAGGGCAGGGCTACCCTGGGGACAAGGCGTCTGCAGGGAAGGGGCAGTAGTCTGCCTCCCGCCAGCTGTAGGAAAGGGGTGAGGGGGTGGGTATGTGTGCCTCCAATTCTGAGACAATGTGATAAGTAGGGGCTGGGCGTTTTCCCCTGGTTTAGTTCCCTCTGATCTACTTCTAGTCCTCTTCTGTGGCCTTTTCTTATTCTCCACCTAAGGCTGTTGTCAGTATAGGTGACAGCCCTATGTGACTGGCTGTTTCTAGATCCACGCCAGCCATAGAGTACACTTCAGTTGCTTGTGGTGACCTCTCTACTTGGGAAGGAGCAGGGTCCTGCACAGATCATTTGCTCCAAATCCCAAGAAGAGCAGAGTCTGTTTCCCGGGGGGCACCCAGAGTCCAGCTCCACTCAGAGCCAGGGACATCCTCAGGAAGGGCCGCTCAGAGCCGTGTTACCTCCCCTTCCAAATGCCCTCCCCACACCCCCCTCTCCTGTGAGGAGAGCAGCCTTATCAGGGAGGATACTTTTAGAGGAAAAACCTACTAAAATATTGATAACAAGAAGGACATTCCATGTTTCATCAAACCTTAGATGCCGTCTTTTGTAAAACACCCAATTATTTTGTTTCAATGAGAAGGTATTTAACTATGACATACCATAAAATATGCATCCTAATTTCAGAATGTTAAAATGTAAAAATATATATATCTCAAAATTGATGAAATGTGGTAAAAGAAGTGTGGAGATGGGGAATCTTCAGAATTAGTTCAGGGCTTGACCAAGTCATCAAGGACCCAGGTTCTTTCCATCTCTCTACGCACCATCCTTAGGACAACCTCAAACACGTCCCCTCGGGGTTACAAGATGGCTGCAGTGACTCCATCCTCATACAACAACATCCGAAGGAGAAAAAAGGAAGTTTCACCTCATGTGGCCCTTTTTAGGAATGAATAAAACCTTTGTCAGAAGTCCCCTAACAGACTCCCCCTTGCAGCTTATTGGCCAGAATTGCATTGTGTTCATGCCTAAACCAATCATGGCCAAGAAGAGAATTACTGTGACCTGCTTTCTGACTAATCGAGAGTGACCGTAGCCTGGGGAGGGGCCCAGGCCCTCCAGAGGGCCTCTGAACTTGGACTAAATTGGAGTTTGTTACAAGGAAGAAGCAGAGGAATCTGCCACTGTCCTTAACACTGAAATGCTCTTTTCCACCCACACAGTTTCCCAGTGGTTCACACCCTTCCACCCAAAAGCTAACATACCCATTTAGCATATTCTTCCTTGAGGAACTCCTGGCTCTGAAAACCTCCCCAGAAGCATTGTCCCCTCCCAGAGCAGGCCCCGGGTGTCCCAACACAAAGCTCAGCCTGCCCTTGTCCAGTACCACCTCCAGGGGTCTGCGAGCTCACCCCAGGCGACACACAGGAATACTCAGGGGAGGGTGGGAGAAGCAATGCACCTTCCCTCATTTTGCTGGTATTCCATGAACTGCTTATTTCATAACTATTCCCTGAAGCTTCTAACTCTGTTTTAGCATAGTCACAATTCAGTGCCCACTGGATTAACCATAGCAAAGGTTTAATCCCATTTTCATGGGATTCTTGCTTCTCCAGACATGTACAGAGGAAATATTCAATAATAAATAGCTGACAACAATCACAAGCATATGTTAAGTGCTAGTGAGTGGTACAGACAGAACCGCTGAATTAGGAAGTGAGAGAGAACACTGGGGGCTGGCAGGAAGCCTCAAGGTGGAGGGGGCTTGAATGGGGCCTTGGAGGACGGGTAGGTTTCAGATGGCCTGAGTTAGGGAGAGCTTTATTCATGATTCTGACTTAGCATTGGCAAATATATGGCAAGCAGTTACCATCCTTTCCCTTGTTTGTGGCAGTTATAGCTAATTGTTCATGATACTCTTTTAGGGGGTTTTTCTTAACGAAGCTCCTCTCAACATTTACAGTGGATGCTCAGGGTGAATGTTATTTTCTCTCCCTGCTCTGAGTTCAGTGGTTACTTGGTGTCCTAACATAAGGTCAGTTCCAATAAAACTTTGGAAGTGTTTTGCTCCTGAAATTCAGGCATGTTGGTGTTCAAGGTATTAGCATTCAGTCTCTCTACTCTTCACATGCCATTGGATTTGCAGCAGATCCCTGTTTGTCTCATCTTCCTCAGATGTGACTGTCAGGATTGGCATCAGAAGCTGCATATTTGTGCCCTCAGATAGATGGGGAGGAGTCCTCCCTCAGTTAGACCCAGACACAGGAAAACATCAACCAGCTCAGTTAACAGTCAGACATTCTCCTTCAAGTTGTTTGGCAATAACTACAGTCTAAAACCCAAACACCTACCCACCTCACCATCAGGTTTGAGGCAGAAAGATTTAAATCTCTAGAACGTAATTTCTGAGCTTGAACTGGAAATTTTCAGCAACAGTAAAGAAAAACCGTTTTAAAAGACCATGAAGACCTGGGTTATGTGAAAAGCATGTAAGAGAGTCTGTCTGTCAATGATAATAAATATCTGGCTATCTGAAAATCTCTCCATGGTTATTTTCATGTTTGGATTTCATCAAATATTTGGTTTTATGCAAACATAGTTATGCATTCAAACAGGTGAGCCTCTATTCTTTCCATTTTTTTGTAGGCTCCTCCATTTGGGAAAAAATATAACTTATTCATGGATGCATCAGCCAGCATTTACAGGCCAGGGCTCTGGGGTCACACAAAGAAGTATGAGAACACTGTACTTGCCCCCATGTAACTTGCAATCTATTTCAAAAGACTCACAGACTTAACCATTTAAATTATAATAGAAACTAGTGTGTCACTAAATGTCAACCAAGTGGTCTTTGCAGTGGGTGCATCAGGGGTCATTCTAAACTGGTGAGGCAAGAAGGGTTTGAGTTAGGTTTGAAAGACCAGACTGTGATCAATGGAGAAGAGGAAGGGTGGGGCCTGCAGAGGTTACGGGGCAAGGCTGCACAAGACATGGCTACTGGACAGTGATGAGCAAGCCCAGGCCAGGCAGAGGACTCTTATTGGAGTGTAAAGGGTTGGGGCATGGTGGGAAGTAAGATGAGAAGTGTTGGGGAGGGAGGGAGGGTTAGTATAGAGGGCCCTGAATGTCAGGGTTAGTTAGTTTGATAAGCAATAGAAGGAGAATTTAGGGTTTGGGAGAGAGTAAGATTTATACTGCATTTTAAATAAATTATTCTGGCAGCTGTGGAATGAGTGGGGAGTCATAGGATGGAAGGAACATGCTAGATTATTGATATAATCAGGCCTGAAGAAATAAGGGCATAACCCATGGTGGTTGCAGTAGGAATTCTGAAGAAAGGAACAGAAAGACAAGTAGCATTATTAAACGTTATTAAGTGTTATTATTAAACATTATTAAACACAGGGACAGAAGGAATCAAAACAAAAAAAGACACCAGTGACAGAGTCAAGCCTAGAAGTAATAATTCATGATTTTCAGATGGAAACCTGGGTTACAAAAGTAAGGGATTCTGCTCAGAGAGAGGGGCAGGTGTGTGGACCTGAGGGTGGAAGCCAGTCCAGGGCCAGCCTCTGTCTGTGGTGCTCCAGGAACAAAGCACTAATAGCAATTTCACAGGTGTAGATGCAGGTCCAATGTAAGAAAACCTTAATGATTTGATAAATCCAAGAAGCTGAGCAGACTTCCATGGATGAAAGGGAAATCTCCGCTACATTGGTATTTAAGCACTAATGTGGCAAAAATCAGAATGGGATGTTTATCAGTTCAGGAGATTCCTGTGTTGAGTGGGAGGGTGAACTAGCTCTATATGAACATTCCTGATCCTGTTTTCCAGTCTAAACTAAAGCAATATGAACTGCCCGAGATGCAAGAAATGTGATGTCTTTACGGACAGATCTGACTGGGACTCTTTTAATTGCAAATCGCAGAAGCCTGATTCAAGCTGTCCTGAGCAAAATAGAAATTTTTTGACTCACATAACTGAAAAGTCCAGGGTTAGTACTACTCTCAGGGATGCAAGTGATGTGGTCAGAATCTAGTCTGTAACCATCTCTTAGCTCTGCTTTCCTTTGGCTCTGTTCTTGGGCAGGTTTCCTCTAGACATGATAAAATGGCTGCCTGCAGCTCCAGGTGCCAGCTCCCAAGTAACCCTGGCAACAGAAGTCCACGCTTCCTCCATTCCAACAGATCCAACCAAAGTCCTGAGCCTCACTCTCACTGGCAATCTTGGGTCCAGTGCCCATTCCCAAACCAGTCAAGGTGGCCAGCTGCTAGGGACAGGCTTATTGGAAGCCTGGGCTTCACACCTGCCTTGGAGTTGAGGCAAGTTGGCCCTCTCAGACCACAAGGACTGAGAGTGGAGGAGGGTCATTTCTCCAATAGAAAAGAAAAGGAAGTGAATTCTGAGTAGGGCAAATGACATTCCGCACAGCAGGGCCTGAACCCTTC